ATTAAGACGGCTATGAAAACAACATGGCGTTCGCGATTTGACAGCATTAAGATAAGCGACAAATTGTTAAACTGGGCATACTCGCAACTGGAAAACAATGATAAAATCAAATAATGTCAAACATTAGTGTAAATACTTGTTTATAAGCTTTATTGTGTCATTAATTTAAAGAAAAATGTTCTCCCATGAAGAAAAGTGTGATATGTTAGAATGCTATTTAGTGTGCAGAAAATCCTCCTTGAGAGCAAGAGAATACTACAGTGAATTATATCCCGCTCGCATTCAACCGTATGAACGATATTTTCTGAGACTTTATCGAAAATTTAGGGGAACGAAAATGTTTTTGCAAAAACAAGGGCAAAAAAAGAATTCATAATAAGCGAGGCCACGGAAATTGCAGTTATTGGATATTTTGAAGCTTATCGTGAGAATTCAATAGCAGATATTCTCAAGGACTCTAATTTCAGTTATGGTACTGTTCAAAGGATTTTAAAAAAATACAAATTTATTCCGTATAAGTACCGACCAGTTCAAACGCTTTTGGCAGGGGATCCAGAGAGAAGACTTGTTTTTTGCCATTGGTATCTTAGCTTCTGTCGCCAAAATGTAAATAACTTTCGTTACCTTTTATGGACAGATGAATCAAATTTTTCAAATTCTGGAATGTTTAATAGAAAAAACCACCATTATTGGTCAAGAGAAAATCTTTTGTTAGTACATTCAAGAGGCCCACAAGTCCGTTTCAGTTTCAACGTTTGGTGCGGTATAATTGGTTCAAAAATTGTTGGCCCGTTCTTTTATGAGGGAACCCTAACTGGTGAAAGATATGTGGAATTTATGTCAGAAATTCTGACTAATTTCTTAGACGAATTGGATCTTATAAGTAGACATCATCTGCATTTTCAGCAAGATGGCGCACCTGCCCACAACTCCAGAGGTACTTATCATTTTCTAAGTACTACTTTTAATGATCAGTGGATAGGAACAAATGGCCCAATACAGTGGCCTCCCAGATCACCAGATCTAAACCCACTTGATTACTTCTTGTGGGGTTACTTAAAGAACCAAATTTACAAGCGAAGGTACGATAACCTTGACGCGTTAAAGACTGCAGTTAGGGAAAAGATAACCCAGATAGATGGTAGGACCATACTTAAGACAGTTCGAGCAGTTGAAAAACTTGCCCAAAAATGTATTGAAGAACAAGGTGGTGTTTTCGAGCATCTTCTTTAAAAAAAATTGTTATTGTATTTTGTAAGATTATAAGTTGATGTTGAAAATAAAGTTTGTCGATACAATTTAATTGTTTCAGATTGGAGGCCATAACTTCAACAATTTGTAACCTAGGAGAAAAGTTATTATAAGCTTTTTTGTTTAAAATTTGATGCTTTAACAGAAAAAAATATAATATACAGGGGTTTCCATTTAAAAAAATGTTATTTTACTGAAAAAAATCAAAATAACGACTCTCAATTGTTTTTTTTTATTTCTCATTTTTACCAGCGTTAAAAATGCTACTAGTTTGCTAATTCAAACAACTTTTGTATTTTCACTAATAACAAAGTTACTAATGGTGGACACTTAATTTGGATAACCCTGTATATGTATTGCTTTTTTTCTCGCAGTTCTGTTTTGAGGTTTTTTTTGCAGCGTTTTAGCTTTTTCTACATCCATCCACTACATGCATTTGTTTATATTTTCTTGTTTATCCATCCTGTAATTAGCTATGGCTGTTGGATGTTGCCAAATAAATAAAATAAATAAATTACTAGATCGGAAATGCGAGAAATACTGCTTCATGTTGGTTGTCCTTTGAGAAAATAAAATGACAGTTTATCCTTGCGATGGCAAAGCAGAACATCTGCACGCTTGAGATCCAACAACAAACCATCTCATGGACCGTGGGTTTTTTATCCAGGTTCTCATATTTTGTTGTGTCTCATATTATTTTCTCACAGGAAAAACATGGTTTCCTTTTGATGTCGCAGTAGTATTTTTTGCGCTTCAGCACTTGCAACATAACAATCAACTGGTGTGTTACAACAGTTCTGGGTGGGTTTTCACGTTTTTTGAGGGGGCTTTTGACGTTTTCGGGACGATGGATTAGGGTGACTTGTCGGGTATACTAAATAGCTACTGATAGCATCATGCTCGCTTGTCGTTTTGAGAAGCTGGACGTCGTTTTTTGAGAGTGGGAACGCCTACTCCAGGGGGTCCTGGACTGCTGGTTTTGCGTGGTGCCCTCTTAAAACTCGGAATGATGACTTCATGCAATCTCAGCATGTTACGGGACTTTCAGACTATGGCAGTAACACACTATAGGAATGTGATAATGAAAAGAAAAAACAAACGAACTATCACCTGTAACAGATAAGTAAAATAAATTGTAATTGTACTGAAAAAGGTTACCGTTGTGATTGAAACGTTTACAGTAAATAATATCTATAAATACATGTGGTTTTATTGGCCAGACAAGCATGGGGAATATACGAGTAGCTGCTTTTATAGTTTCACGATTCGTCTCCAACATTATGTTGCTGCTAACGACCGTCATCTTGGAGTCACTCCGAAATTGCAGACTTCTCTTACGTTTATTTTACCAGGTTTATAACCATTTGAAACTCCTTAATTGGTTTTGTCGCACCCTGTACTAGTGGTAATATACGATATGGAAGCGTTACTTGACGCCATGGTATGCAATTAATCAAACCAAGCCACGATGTGTATTTATGATGATTAGAAAACTGTATCAAGAACAGTAACTCAATCTTATTGGCAAAATAAAACTTAGTATCTCCCAGATATATGATCAAATTAAGAAAGTTGGAAGTAATAAGGCAGTGCAGGCACAACAAAGGTCAGGCACGCCAATTATATTGTACGATCAATAATGCTTCGGCCGGATTATATTTGCGCAACAAAACGTTGTAAACGAAACACCAAGAATAACCATACAGTTCAGAGCGAAAGGCGACGTAGAAAGGTGATCAAAATTAGAAAGCTCTTATCGCATTACAAACGAGTGGAATACCGAAATGGTAATAGGCCGGACAATTTTGACTCAATATTTTACACGTCATTTGCTATTACACCAGAGGAAATAATAGAATACAGCGAATTTTTAGATGATATAGTACATTACGTATCTAGGTTGGTAAGTAAGCCATTATTGGTCGACCACGCGTGGCGCCTCACGATATAATGTCCGATATCAATAATGGCATTCCTATAAGAGGTAGGTGTGTATAAGAGTTTTTCCACTACTAACACTATAATATCATTGGATTCCATAAGATTTAAATATGTTCATTTTATAGTGTCATTTACCCTAACTAGACGCAAATCAGCGATCATGACGTTCCATACTCATTTGGCAAATACTTCGGAACTCACTATAATTGTTTTTTCCTTGTGCGCATCTACTCCGCTACGAGACCTGTCTAGAGCGTGCTGATCATTACCAATAAGTATGAAAAGCAGTAGTGCGGAACCGATTGTCGACTGTGACGCAAGACGCTCCTCCATCGGGGGACGGCGTCGCACGCATTGACACGCGACTGTTGGAGATAACTCTAAGTTTTAAGGATAAATGTACGGAGACCAACGTCAAAAAATTGAGATATACCCTTGTCCACTCCCTGCAACCATACTAACCCCCAATTTTTAACCCCTACAAAACATTCCTGAACATGATCAGGTTTTTGACTCTCGCTCCGCCGCCACTGGACTGATTTTAAAAAACCATGAAGCTTTTTCGAGCTTGGCATGAATTAGAGTATTTGGGGCACTTGAGGTTTCTTCGATATTTAAAACCATTCCTCCTCAATTCCTCGTACTCTTAGAAGATCCGTATTGACTAGCCAGTCTCCTTGTTGACATTCCAACCTGATTTTTTGCTCTTCTCACCAGTCCCTCTGACTTTTGTGCAGTAAACGCACGTGGTCTTCCACTTTTTGGGATATTTAGACATGGTATTCTCTGCTCGCACTTCTCTATTGTTCGATAAATGGTTCTGCGAGAAATGTTTTCGTTTTGGAATATTCGACAGATTTCAGCTTTGGATACCCGCCCAACCAACTTGTAGATACTTTTTCTTATTTCTATTTTTTTATACATGTTAAAGCGAAAACCTCAAAATAAATAAATGTCAACTGACAATAAAGTAAGTAAACAAACTTTTGTTTCCAAAGACAACTTGATATTATGTTGTGTTTGTTAAAATTAAATCCAATGAATTTTGAGCCAAAACTTATAGGACATATGTTGTTACGTGTACGGCTTCATCGATACGCGTCAACCTCTGACGGTAGTGAATCTGATTCAATTCACTACCGTAAATAAGAGACAGCATTCCATGATGCAAATTGTGAAATTCTTCTGACCTTCGGTTTGATATCTTATTCAGTAGCAGTCAACTGTCAACAAACTGTATTTTTTAATTACATAATATGCGTGAGAAGACCCCAGTGTCATTTTTTATCTTGTCTGCATCTCAGCTGTTATACATACTGTTATAATCCACATTGTGTTAAGGGAAAGGAAGCCTTGTCACGCTGCCTACCCCGACTAACGATTATTTCCTATGGTTTCACTCTCTTCAGGTACGCCGCTTTCCATCAGCCCTTCGCTTTCGACTGACGGTAACTTCCCTGCGATACCGTTTTAAAACGTATTAGGGTGACGCGTTATTTTTAAATACCATCTGATACACGGCCAGACACAAAGGAAGAACTTTAAAAGAAGGTAGGTACTTCTGCCATGCGTAACGAACATGTCGGTCACTTCACGGTCAATAAATAAATTTGCCTTTGGCTTGGTTCTGTATATAGTAGTTTCCGTGAAAATGTTCAGAAGACTTGTTAAATTTCGAAACTACTCAGGGGTCTTAGTGAATTGTTAATATTTCTTTGGTTAACATAGATGTTCGTCAATTATCACTGTATTGATGGGCAAAACACTAGCTTGATCCATGAAGGTTATTCTTTTTTCTTTTCTTACAGAAATTCACCATCTGACTCTTGCCTACGAAGTTCGCTGCTCACAATGGATTTTCCGGATAATACGCACCTTACGTTAACAATATGTAGTGATAAGATAATATTAGTAATGATAATGTGACTTTATTGATAATCTTCTACATCATGGCGAAGTTTATATTGATCGCCACTCTTCCACTTAACCACAATATGGGCGAAACATATCAAAAAGTTTACACACTCAACATAAAACAAATACATGACAATTAAATTTCTGATATGGTCATGAAAAGATTTACATCTAAAGTGACACCCGAACATGTTGAAGGTGTGACCAGTGGAATATGGACGTTATTCACGCTCGTCATCCTCAATCGTCCTTTCAAAACGTGCATAATTAATTTTAGGATAAAAAACTCTTCGTAGGATTGAGCTTCAAACAGTTGTCCTTGCAATAGTTTTATAATGTTGCCTAAAAAAACTCTCTGTGAAGATCATGGAATGAGGTATTTTCAAACAATTTTATTTTGACGAAAGGTTTTGCATCCGTAAAATATATTTTAATTTTTTTGATTTCAAATTTGCAAACCTTGCGTAGTGTAGCGTGCGGAGTATGCCGCGCGACTGGTTTTATACGACTTTCTTTTAACTTCGATTACTTATACTTTAAGAACCATCAAGCAGCCGAAAAAGAGATAACGGGCATTTTTGTAGCAAATTTTATTCTCTACAAAAACATACTAGTCCACACGCTTTTATTGCTGGTTTGGCCATTATAAGCGATAATACAGGGTGTTTTCAAAGTCGAGTCATTTTAACTGCTTGTAGGAGGAGGCCACATTTTCACGTAATGCACAATTTCCACAATAATCATGTTTGGGCCGCAGAAAATCCACTTGCTGTAGAAAGACCTCATTTTCAACATAGATTTTCATTAAATGTTTGACCTGGCGTGGTAAATGGCATGCTTATTGGACCCTATTGTTTTCCACCTCGACTGACCCGGTGAAATTTATTTAGATTTTCTTCGATACAATCTGCCACATTTATGAGATGTTCCTCTAAATGTAAGACAAAATATGTGGTTCCCACATGATGGGGCTCCACCACAATTTAGACGAGAAGTTCCCCACCCCTTTGGCCTGCTCACTTCCCGGATTTAACGCCTTGCGATTTTTTTCTGTGGGGCTATTTGAAAGAGTTGGTGTATCATGATAGAGCAGTAAATACTCTGGAAGAACTTCAACAGCGCACTGAAAACGCTTGTGATTTAATTCGTGTACACCTGAATTTTATTTTCGAAGCTTGTAAAGAGTCGTGGATTCGCCTAGCAAGTTCTACAAGTTGTTAAAATAAATGATTCAACTTTGAAAACACCCTATATGTTTACATATAGCTGTATCTTTTAATTTCTCGTGAGCTGTTGATTATACGGAAAAATATGTAGGGACAGAATAATAGAAAATTTAATTTCCTAAAAAATTGTTTCTTTCATTTTTTTATATAGAATCGATAGTTTGCGAGATATTTGATCAGACGCCTTTGTCAAAATGGCCAATTTGAACTTATCATTAGAGAGTAAGTAATATTCTAATGATACAACTGTAAACATTTTCTGTTGCTATATTATAAAATTTTGTTACTCAAAATCTCCTTATTTCCTGGCCTATAACGCAGCTTAAGTAGCAGATGTATTGGTATGGATTACTGCCGTTGTGGGTTTAAATCGCACTAGTATGAGATTTTTGCTCCAAACTGCAAATAGATTTACATTCTTGTAGGTAAGATTCAGCGCAATTGCTTTCTCCAAAAGTTATCTTGGTCGCTGAACTGAAGAGAGTGCTTGAATGTCTTATACTACTTATAGTAATCTAGAACAAGAGAAATATTGACGCATGCGCGTGAACAAAATATTTGATTCTTCCTGTAATTTTTTTGCAACTGCCGGGGTCTTGCACGAAAATCAATAAGTTGGATTTTTCATGCAAGCTTGTCTTTAATCCTGGTGGAGCAGTTAGTAGCTTACGAACTCTAATGCACGCAAATGTTCCTAGGCGGGTCCGGGGGTTTTATTTAATAGTTTACGGATATACATTTGATTGTGTTTTGATTTTGGATGATCGATGATGGAAAATAGTTTTTGGATATTAAAACCATGTGTTTTGAAGGCGAAAAAACCAAAACCAAAATTATAGGTTAGGAATGTGACAGGGAATAAACCCTATTTCACGAGTATCCATCACGTTTTGAGTGACATCTTTGTATTAGTCTGTAACTGTTGGCAATAATGAATCGGGTGCAAAACTAGAAAAAACTTGCTTGTAACGTCTTTTTTTGTAAGCAAATGAACTTTTCTAATTAAAAGAGTTGTTACCAAGTACTATATGAATCTGTAGCATACAAAAAACCAAAACAATATACAGCTCTGTCTGCCTGGCCTTGACCGATTCGTCAGAATTAATGTGTAATTTGTGGATATGGGGAATTTTGAAATATTACTAAGTAATCACCTGTCATTCTACCGTAATGGATATTATTATATTATATATAATATTTCATTCATTTCAGTTGGCTTACCTTGCTCGTTTGAATCAAGGAAACTGCCGTTTTGCAACTGCAAGAGCTTGCATCCAAAGATTTTTAATGTACTCGACACCTACTAGTCTGTTTGAGGCCCCGCCATATCATTGCTGGCTCTATACTTTCTACTTTCTTTTATTAATCGACTTATGCTGTTGCACCATTGCGTGCCCTGTTATAGGCCAGTCCAATTGGGAATTTGATGAATAGAAAATGTACGTTGTATACATTTTGGTATTTTGTTTTATTCATAGTATGATTTCATAAGTTTTATTAGACAAAATACAGATTCAGTAGTGGAAACTGCTATTGATACTGCCCAAAAATACTTCCACCACACTGCCTTGTAATACAAATTTGGCCATCCATGTCAACCGCTAACAAGTAGAGATATTTTACTATTTATTACTCACTTATCTCAGCAAGAGTGACGTTTAAGAGCTTTAGAAGCTTCTTTTAGTTTTACAAAGCACCAATTATATTTTTTCTGTTTAAACGCTCCCTGCTTGGTAATTCTGTCTTTTACTATGTTAAAAGAATTAAGTGTTCGCGTGACCTCTGGTTTTCTCCAGCTGGTAAAAGGACACGAATCCACACCGCATTCAAGATCTCGAGTGCTGATAGAGCTGAAGGGTCGCTGACTTCCTAGCTATAGCTAAGGGGGAGGATAAGGGGAAAAACCTTATATCATTCAGCGAGGATACATACTCATTATAATTCCCTGTATAATTTTTGTAATGGACAAAACTTTCACGCTTGCCAGCTTCAGTGCCATGCTAGACAAAAGAAAATCAGATGTGTTGAGTGATACAGTATGATTACGTTTTTGGTGTTTTTTGATACATGTTATTGCGCCCAGATAGTTTATGTAGTACAGAGGTTTAATAAATCAAAGTTAATCCGGTCTAAAAGTCTACAGTCTAAAAGTCTAGTGTGCTGATGAATATATAGCAAAAATTCAATATGTATGTACACTGTCACGCAAAATTAATCGGACAAACATTTTTTGTTTAAATTAAATTTCAAATAACTTTTTAATCTTTGCATCAATTTTGTTAGTTTGTTCGTCAAGTTGTGTTCGTCATTGTTGACTGTCGATTTTGCAAAAAAAATTGAAAATGTTATACAGGGTGTAACTAAAAGGTGCATCTTGCCCTAACTTTCTGAAACATTGGATTACTGAATAGTGTGTCTTCGTATGAGTATTTTAAGCATCTTTGCCGGGTAAGAAATTGTTTCAACTAGGCTGTGTCTGTCAGCATTTTTATGGCATTTCAAAAAGATGCTTGTCAAGCAATACTCAACAAAAATGACACCGGAACAAGAAGCGCAAGCTATCATCTTTACAAGATGATGGTCGTCCTATTCGGTATATCGCAGAAAGGCTTGTCGTTCCAGGCAGTAGGGTATTCGATGCGATACAAAGATTTAGAGAAACTGATTCGTTGAAGATCGCTTTCTGAGACTTCAAGCTCTTCGAGAAAGGACAGTTTCTGCTACAGCTTTGACTCGAAGATTGGATGTTCATGGTACCATAGCCAGAATGACTAGGCAATACTTCAACTATGTAGGAATTCAAGTACTAGACTGGCCGCCAAGGAGTCTGGATCTCAACCCCATTGAGCACATGTGGGATACATTAGGAAGGTTTAACTGAGTCTATGCCAAAGAGGATGAGAGCTGTTATTCAAGCTCTGGGACGAAAAAAGGTTTTTGATAACAATTTATAATTACCAATGAAGTCACAGTAATTTTTTAAGTTAAATTGTTTATGGCTATGATTTGCATGATTTTCTTCAAAAGAACATGTATTCTTCAATAATTGAGATATTGACATGGATCAAAAAAAGAACTGTTGAGAAAAGTTGATGCTTAAAATTCTCTTACGAAGACACATTATTTAGTAATTAAATGTTTCCACAGGGTGTTCAGCGCAAAATACACCTTTTAGTTACACCCTGTATAACAACAAACATTTTCAATTTTTAGCTACAACTTGACGAACAAATTAACGAAATTAATGCAAAGGTTAAAAAGTTATTTCAAATTTAAATTGAACAAAATTTTGTTTGTCCGATTAATTTTGCGTGACAGTGTATGTACACATAAAGATCTACTTCGTGTAATGTTTGCGATATTTTGTTGAAACAAAAAGATATAATATAACACTAAACTCAATCTAAAGGTTCCCTCAAACTCATCAAGGCCTTATATTCGGCACAAATAATCGTCTAAGCTGTAAGGAGGTTGAGTGGACACACTTAGAGAGCTGGAATTGCAAAACAATGTAAACCCACATTGGATACCAGGACACGAAAAGCACAAAGGAATTGAGAAAGTGGATGGGCTGTACCGAGAAGGTGTGGCCAATCTCCTAATAGGTCCTACCCGTTCTATGGAGTGAAAGCCTCTAGAATAGTAGAGCGACCAACGAGCCAGAGTTTATAAAACAGAAGCCCTCATCACAGGGGAAAAGCTTAGATTAAATAAAAATGTCCATAATTATAAACATGGTGAGTCGGTGCGTCACTCAACGAGACATTGTTGTTTGAATCGGCATATGGAA